CCGTCAGAATTTTATATGAATATTAGTAGAGGAAAGACCCCTATTATGAGATACCACGTACATCTATTTTGTGCGTGATTATCGGAAGTCTATGGGCAGAATTGAAAAATGTAGTAGGTCAGTTTGAAAGGAATTTAATAAGCTTTAAAATGCTGAAGTGTAAAATCTAATTTAAATATTAATTTTTCTAAAAATTAGAAAAATGTAAAAAATGAGCTTCATGCAAAATCCAAAAAGTGTCCTCCTAATATGAGATACCCCGAGAAATCGCTAATAAAGTGCAAAATATATCGGTATTGCAATTGAAAACTTTATTTAATGTCTCTGAAATACAAATGTAATGGAGAAGCTTATTTGCAATAATCGCAAACCCATAGCACTTATACTCAATATTTCCAGCGCAGCTAGTGTGCGCTCAGCATGAGCATGCGATCACTATCAGCACACTTTTATAAGTTTGTATGAATTTTCCCTTAACTTTAACACAGTGTTTTCCCTCTTTTTATTACTGTACAATAACTTTCATACTCTAGCAACGATCGTCACCCTGAATATCTCATATTACGGACACCACGCCTTGCGGTTTCGTGATCACCAAATCTATCCTCTACAATTAAGCAACTCAACATATTCTGTATTTTCCTGTTAATACGACCTTACTCTATCGCTGCATACAGAACTCATTGTTAAATATTTATTTATTATATAATAAACAAGGTTCAAAGTCTTACCTTCATGGAACTTGACAACATCCAAATTCACAATTTCGATATTTGTGACGAGTGCATGCACGATCGAATAATGAATTTTCTATTAAATAGGTTTTACACGAAAGACAATAAGTTCATAGTGGCACCAACAAATAGAACCTATTAGTTTAGCAGAGACCCCGCTTTCGTATATTAGGAGCTTATCTCATAATAGGGGACTTTCCTATATAGATTGAACAATTTATCTAAAAAGGGAGTTTATCTTAAATAATGATTGTAATTATCGCTTTGAAGTGTCACACTTTTCCACTCTTGCGTCCTCGATTTTTCAAATATCTGGATCCACGCGGAATCTTTATACATGAGCGTGACTAGTTTTTAGCAATGGTGACACGCGGAACGGTCTAACACGCGCAACACACGCGCGACACGTTCGCCATTATCGCAATTTTATAGTTAATTAATACCGTGGCGTGGTCGCGGTATCATGAACAGCTGGAATTTTTCACCAATTATTTGTTTCGCAGGCCGCAACGCCACCGCAGTGGCGATTCATCGCGTAGAACGGATACATATTGTGGTCATTTTTAAGCGAGAGAACCCCGATTTCTCGAAACGCCAACGAAAGTAAAAAGATACATACGAAAAGTTAAGAGAAATTTGCTCAGGCGTGGACCTCCTTAGTCCTTATTGGTTAATCTAATTAAATTTATAATTATCTTTTTATTGCACTGAAGCAGTAATATATCGACGTTTCTTCTTAAATACTGAATAATTAATGTAGTGTTAATATTTAATTCATATATGTTGTGAATTGACTAATATTATGTAAAACATGTTCTAGGATAAATAAATAAATAAATTATTAATTATTTTTTACATTAAATATTTAAGCTTAATTTTGCAATGTACATTTTCACGTAGCCGTTTATAAATTTCTGCTTGAGTTCTGCTTGGTATTATCGCGTTGAGAATGATTTCCGTGTTTGCTCAGCGAGATGTGCGCACGAAAAAATGCAATTTTGACGATAATCGCGATCGCGCACTTTCTCCTTTGCAACGCCGCGCGCTCATTTGCATCGTATCGTAATTTTCCATCGAAAATAAGCGCGCGAGAATACGTATCACACTAGCTTTTCAAGGAACTTGTTATTAAGTAACGATTTCCTTGAAAATATTTCCATTAATCGCGATCACCGGCATACGATAAGCGCTTACAGGGTGTCACGAAACTCTCGACGGCGTTACAGCAGTGTCGTCACTTCTCTGACTCTCCTCATCTCCGTGATGAATAAAAATGCCGAGGGTTCCGTATTTTTGAACCTAGTTTGAGCCGCGTACGTAATTTCCTTTCGAAACGGACATCGTGGGCGATAATCTCCGGCGCGATTGATGAATCTTCCTCGACGCGGATAGAGCGCACGGAGGCTGCGTCATCGCGAAGATTTCCAGCGCGCGAAAGAGCCGACGACACCTTCGTCGTCGTCGTCGTCAAGCCGCGTGTAACTCCACGAAGATTACACGCATCCGGAACGCGCGCCGCGGCCGCGATCGACAAAGCGATGTTATACGGCTTTATCCGTGATTACGCGTAGTGCTCGTCTCTATCCCCGTCCCGGGATTCCGTTTTACTTCGACTTTCATAGTTACGATTTACCATAGCAATAACAGTTATCCCTAATGATCGAATCAATCATCTTGGATGGAATGCTATTCCGCAATCCTGCGATCTTTCAGAAAACACAGGGAACGTGTGTGTATGTGCGAAAGAAATGCACAATATGTTCACCGGCGAGAATTCATTCCTCCGAAGTGAATTTATTTTTATTATTATCATCGAAAGACGCTCGTTTTATATATGGGCATAGAAGATTGAAACTCCCGAGAGTCCCGAGAAACGCGTTATTTTGTATATGTTTTTGTTTAGAGCAATGATCCTATCGATACTTTAATTTGGAAAATGGGGTCTCATTCGGTCTTTTTTCGGATCGACTGCAGCGTAAAACGACGCTCGATCACCGAAAAAGTTCACACCTCGCTGGCCGCATATAATGCAGCTTGTTGCACTTTCGCAACGCGGATAAATATATACCTGCACGAGGCTCGCGCACACTCGTATTCGTACTCACACACGCACATACGCACACATACACACATGTATGCGCGTATACACGGGCAATCGTTGCACCGAGAGCTCGTACCCACACTCTACTGCCCACACGCGTGTGTACGATACCGGAACGAAGCGAGTGACTAACCTCTGGGAATAGAAGAAATGAGGGGATCTCTGCCAGGTTAACCCTTCGAACCAAATCGGTTGAGTTCTCCAGGATCGAAGATTTACGCTGGGCGCTCCGAAAATTCCTCCGAACGGCTTACGGCGCGGTTTGTCATACGTGCAGGTGCTCCAGGAAAGGTCATTTACTGATCGAGGGTCGTGTGATGCACGAACGCATCCTGGACGACGCGAGGCGTCGTCGCGGCTCGACGCTCTTCGCACAGGTATCCAAGCAGGTCTGTCGATGTGGTGGCCATGCGACTTTATCGATTCTGTCTTCCTTGGGAACTAGTAGACGACTGATACTCGAGTCCTCAAGACGCAGTATGTCCCGCGGTTGATACAGAATGCAAGAGTATTATCTAAAACTATGAGATGTATAAGCCTTCTTTATATTCTTCGACTGTGATCCATCCAATCTTGATTCTGTAGACTAAGACTTTTCTGGAATTTTTGAGGATGTAACTGATCTCTTCTTGATTCCTTTAAAAGTATAAAGACTTTAATGTCTTGAATATTCAAGCTATAACGGATTCTGATTTTTGGGTTTTTAGAATATAGATTCTGTATTTTGAAGTGTGTAAAAAAATCACGATTTTTTAATATTTAAACTATAACGAGTCTCGATTCTTGGATCTTTAACTGTAACAGGTCTTGGCTTTTTCCGCGGTATGAAACCGGATTTATTTCCGACTTTCCTCAACACTATTCGTGTACTATTCTTTTCGGCACTCGCGCGAGACGCGATATATCAAATCCTCGATAACCGACTTATGAGCCACGTCGTGTCTCTGAAAGGCCGGAAACCCCGAAAGAAACGCGGATATCACTCTCACTCACGCGTACGCGTTCGCGAATATGTTCCACGAAATTTCGCGAGGGCGAGCCTTAGCACCGTTGTGCAGGTCCACGTGTCCCTCCTATCTCGACTCTCTCGCGAGCTGGTGCAGATAGAACCGATCCTCCCGACAAAGTTCTTGAGGATCTGCGATCGCCGGACGCGACCAGCGACCAGTGGTACCAGCTGTTTCGTGGACGCTGTCGTATGCGGCCGTAAACCGTATTGCTCGCCGGCGACCGAACGACTGTAAGCGCGATGGAGGTGGTGGAGCAGGACGAGGAGGAAGAGGGGGTGGAGGAGGAGGATGAGGAAGAAGAGGAGGAGGAGGAAGTGGTAGGGTAAGTGAGCACTCGAGGAGAAGGAGATCTCTTTTCGCGGCGTCCTCTTCCACCTCGCCGTCGTGATCGTATGGTGATTCTTAGTCCACCAACTTCAAGTCGTCGCGACGCTGCCTTCGACAACAACGATGACGACCGATTTTGATAGCGAAATAATTCGTCTAAATTAGTACGAGAAAATGCTCGGAGGATTCACGAAAGAGCGCCATTTTGCTTCTTTGGTACGTCAGTTCGAAGTCGTGATGACGCTATGGGTTTTTGGAAAATGATGATTATATTTTAATGACTTCAACAGCAAATAAATAAAAGAAAATGTCTTGGGAAACAGAAAGAAATATTTTATTCCTTCGACTCGTCAGTTTGGGATTGTCGCAGCGTCATGTCAATTATATCGACAATGGAAGTCCAAGTAGACCCTTACTGAAGCACCGAGAAACACGCTACTTGTAGAACATTTTTCAACCGTTATTGTTATAAAAACATCACTCGAAAATGCGAAAAAAAGGAGATCCACCGAAAATCTAATGTTCTAAGAATTTATCTTGAAAAGTCTGAACTGCAAATCTGAATCACACAAGATTTGGAAGATCTTGAAACCTCTTTGAAGACTTAGCTTCGAGGACCAAGAGCCAACAGGACGAATAAACTCTTTCGGCGACACTGCGTGCGCGCGCGACAGGATAACAAAGGAGAGAAAGAGGGAGAGAGAAAGAAAAAAGAGAAAAAGAGGACGACGGCGACGTCGCGACGCGCGTCGTCGGCGAGGTGAAACAAACTACTGATCGGTCCCCGTTGTTGCTCTATGGCGTGCATCATGGCGTGGACTTCCAGCGGTGTAGCTCACGCAGGCCCCAGCGACGAGAGGGGCTCGATGGGGCCCGAGGGTGGGAAGTGGGAGGAGGGAAGCGATCGGACGCGAGGGTAAGAGAAAGAGGGAGAGACAGCAGAAGTGAAAGAGTGAGAGGGGACACGTACTAGGTAGGTAGGTAGGTATGTATTCCGCCTCGGGCGACTCCACGTATAGCGGTACTTGGGAACCCCTTTCCTCCCGGGGCCCGCGTTCGCCACCTTCCCTTCTTCGTGCGCCAACGCGCGACGCCCTCCTCTCCGTCAACGTGCACAAAGGTTCTCCAACCGACGGTTCTCCGCGCGCTGCACGTGTCACTAACACGAGGCCCGGGACTCCATCGGGCCCCACGGACATGGGGCCCGTCGAGTTGCGCGCGCGCAATGCGGGGAAACTGACTTGCCGCCGATGCAACTTCAAGGACGTGGCTTTTCGGCCTAAGTCTAGGCGCTTCGACCTACTGCCGCCGGAGACTTGGACGAGGGGTTAAGACATGTTCATCGAGTTCATCGAAAAGAAGGAAGAACAAGGATTATCAATCGCGAATGCTTGCCCGGGAAAGATAATTGATTAATAGAGAGCGCAGCAAAAGTAGTGCTAGTAGTAGTAATGGTATCACTAATAACATACTACCCGATATTTTGTACAAGTTGTTTGTATTAATTTTTTAATTATTTTTCATACCTTCTCTCTAATCTTTTTATTTTTATTCTTACAGACGATAATATATAATTTTAAATATAAACATTAAAAGATATGTCTAGGCTAAATAAAAATAAAAATTTGATAATTAAAATTAAAAATATTACAACTGCACAATTGTAATTTTTTTAAAAAATTTATTTATAAAATATTTTTCCCAAAGTTAGAATTGCGAGAGTCCGGAATTATGTTGAAATTAATAGACAATTATGAAAAACTTTAGTTTTCCGAAAGGATTTTTATACATATAATACAATATTTGCATAAAATTCCAATTTGCATACAATTTTGTCGGGATCTGTTATGATTTATTAATATATTTAGTAATCCAAGACGAGGTATTATCTGTAAAACTGACAACCATCGATTTGTATTGACATATCTCGCGAATCTGGTACACACGAGAAAGGTTTGTTTGTACATCGCGATCGTGGAGACGCGCAAAAAGAATAACATAAGCGCAATGCGCATAAGTAATCGATCGACCGGCAACAATTTATGCCCGGTTTCTTGGCGGAATTTATTCGAACTCGCATGATTCGCGGTGTTTTCTTCCCACGGAGATTCTAGCAATGCGAGAATATCTACTCTAAAGTTTCGATGCGAAACTGTAGAATCGGCAGCAGAATTGAATATTAGTAAAACCATTGCCGATAACACACTCAAAGATTATGCAATTGATTATTTAGGAATTTTTATTATACAAGGTATTTTCCCTAAGTGAGTACAAAAAATTAAAAGGAATATTCCGTGGCTTATTTTAAGAAGAAAAAGTCCTAAATTGCTTTGTTTTCAAAATACAAGATGTTAAAGTTGTGAAAAAAATATGAAAATTTTTTGAAAACTTGGAAAACGTTTAAAGATATTTTATTCAAATTTGATATGCGTACATGTGGTATTAAAAACCATTTTCCAGGACTAATGAAATATTTTTAGATCTACCACGGGCATGTGTATGGGTAATTTTGTATTTTGAAAGCGAAGCAGTTTAAGGCATATGTTTATAGAACCTATTCTTTCTAAGATAAACCACGGAATATTCTTCTCAATTTTTTGTACTTACTTAGGAAACACCCTGTATATTGCAAGAATAGTTATTTGTGTAACAAGTGCGAGAAGTTGAGAATTGGACACGGGTGCAGAGTGGACGTACGAGCCGAAGGCGAGTGCGATCACCCGCACGTGTTACACACCTTATTTTATATTGCAAAATGCGTGGAAAGTGGCCCATTATTGCGCGCGCGTCATCTGTGCGACGGATGGCCAATTCCACATCCACACACGTCGAAACAGATGGCGCGCGCGTAATAGGCCACTTTCCACGCACGTGTGATCCCCTACAGCACGAAATATTGCAGCAACTTGCAGCAACATTGCAGCAATATTTTAATGTTGCTGCAAGTTGCTGCAATATTTCGTGCTGTAGGGGATATAATAGTTATTTGTGCAACTCGTGCGTGAAGTTGAAAATTCCCGGGTGCGGAGTTGACGCACAAGCCGAAGGCACCCGGGAATTTTCAACTTCACGCACGAGTTGCATACTCTATTTTATGTTGCAAGTGCGTGGAAAGTGGTCTATCACGCACGCGTCGCGTGCGTAATGGGCCACTTTCCATGCACGTGTGACAATAGTTATTTGTGTAACAAGTGCTGTAAGATGGATTATTAATTTATTGCAGCACAATTTTTGTTTTTGGCAAAAAAAAGGATGAGTTTCGCTTAAAAATTTCTCGAGATCTACGGGGTTCACCTACATCGCAGGCCGTGGGCCCGATTCCAAGGTTAATCGGATAAGTATCCTTTTTATCGTCGAAACCTACATTTCAACAGATCCAGATCCACGTTGGAAATGTGGATCTCATTGTAGCGAGACTACAAGTTTGATCGCCAGGAGATTGATTCGCGCCGGCCGGCTGATCGCGGAAAAATGGCAGGAGAAAGAAAGCCTGACTAATAACGCGGCGGCGGCCTTGGAAAAATGCCGCCGCCACCACCGCCACCGCCGCGCCGCTGCGATGCAGGCCGCGCGGATGATGGAGCGCAGGAACGTGCGGAAGAACCGTGCGGCGAAAAGGAAAAAGTCGACGAGTTCTGATCGATGATGTCAGAAGGATGCGCCGCTTATCGACGTTTGCACGTGCGCTGAGATGCTTGCAATTAAGCTTCTTTCTCGCTCGCGCCTTCTCTCTCTTCAGCAACCTAACCCACCCTCGTCCCGCGTAGCACGTGCATACCCAGTATAACCGCAATCAGCGCGAAGTCATGCGAAAATACGAACGACACGACGCGACGGCGCGGCGATAGGATGTAAACCGTTCCGATAAATGATAACATTGCATCGACATAACTGACCAACGCAATCCCTCGCGTTATTATAAGCCGAGACTCGCAGAATCTTATTGGGATTAAATTTTATTTAGAAAATTTGAATTCATTTATATACCTACAGATTCTATTGTAACACACACAGTTACACTTGTAACAAAATTTAAAGTTTGAATTAAAACAAAGTTGAAATTTAAAATTCGATTATTTGTAGTAAAATTTTAATTTTACGCTTTAGAAGGCGAATTTTATTGCAAGCTTAATTGTGTATAGCAAAAATTAAAGTAGTTGAATATTACAATTAATATAATTGTAATTGTTGTAAATTTTACATTAATTAATTAATTAATACATTTTGTTATAAGTGATAAATGATAAATGTAATATTAATGAAATATTGTTCTTACCAACCTTTTTTTCAAATAATATATCATTACAATCTGATTTATATGGAATAACATAATATCTCTATGATGATTTCGTTTACGACGTGACAGAGAAGACAGGGAGGAACAGGATGTGAATATTCTTAATAACAGTAACGGCTCATTCGGGATCCCTTTATGGTCATTAATTCACTTGGTCGCGCTAATAACGCTGCGGTATTATTATTATACCCGATGGTATTATTATTATGCCCTGATGAAGCTCGTTAAGGAAACTACGAGTATTTGGTTGCATCCTCTCTGCTAATTGCGCGTATAAAACAGAGGCGCAGTGCCATCGAAGAATCTCTTCTGTGATTCGGAAATTATTCTTCAAATTATCCTAGGCCTCAAAATTCGAGAAAGGATCCATGAGTTTAAATTTAATCCTTAAAGGGAGATTTTTGTGATTTCCAAACAGTACCATATTTAAAATCGAGACATGCGTGCTGTTTAGGTTCCAAATAGCAGTAAGAAACTTAGAATTTTCCACTAAAGCCACTACAAACTTTTCTTTTTGCACAAAAACGCAGAAATTTAGAGATGCAAAGAAAGATTTTTAAAGAGCCATTTTAACTTCAAGGATTCT